ATTCATTAGACAAAATATTTTCTCATTTCGGGTAGTAGCTGCGTGGAATGACCTTCCTCCGACGGTTGTCCACGCTCCTTCTAGAACCCAGTTCAAAGCACTATTAGACATTTAGTTATGCGAATCCTTGCGCTGGCAAGCATACCGTCCCGCGCTGAGAACATAAAGAGCAGTGCTACACTGTTTTTCGCTTCTGCCTTTCAGGTGGACGGCAACAGTGAACCGACAAGTGGGCGACCCGGGAAACTTGGGCGAATGCCTCAATCCCGCTTTTGTTCTTGTCAGCACGTGGTTGCCGTTCACCTGAAAGGCAGATGCGAAAAAATAGTGTGGCACTGTTCTTTATGTTCTAAGCATTGGGAAGTACGCTTGCCAGTGCAAGTATTTGCATAAATAGGTGTCTATTAGTGCTTTGAACTGGGTTCTAGAAGGAGTGTTGACAACCGTCGGAGGGAGGTCATTCCGCGCAGCTACTACCCGAAATGAGAAAAAATTTTGTCTAATGAGTGTGTGCACTCCTAGCTTTGTTTTTGACCCGTCACCTCCAAATCCTAACGACCTGATACTCTCTTCAAAAAACGCATAGTAACCGTGCTTCCCTGCCTGTGTCAGTTTAGTGGTGACCACACCTACGTCGGACGATTCCCACCGCCTATGATGCCGTCATTTTCCCGACTCTCCTTTACTCATATTCTATCCCGACTGTAACCTAATGATCACGCCTGAGAGCATGCCACCCACAAGTTGGGAATAAACATTATTGTTATTGTTATTATTATTAGTACATTAAAGATAACTGGGTAGCCGAGAGTTTTCTAATATGAAAAGTACCCGAGGCGCCGGCTATCCCGTGCGTTTTTTCTAAGAAGCAGGGGCACCATCTCTCGTTTACTTCTTATTATCTTGAGCACAACCTTGAGATTCCTCAGCTTTTACGATCGGTTTCAGGTAAGTCGGTAACTAGCTGAAGAGGATTCATGCACATTTAGAGCCCTGCCGAAGTACGGAACACCGTCGTGCTAAGTGCGGCAGTTTGTGACCAATGACTATGGTAAGGTCCTTACCAATCAGGACATAAACAACTACCGCTGAAAATGAGTGCCATCGCTGTTGAGTAAGTGACGTATAGTTGGGTTTTGTTAAAGCAGATGATAGGCCTTTGGTGAAGGACAGGCTTCGAGGGACCGGATGCGTGCTTGTGCCGCAGTCATGGGAAAGTCAGTTTAGCCACCTATGCTTACCCAGATGACAGAAGATCGCGCCGCTCCTACACTTCGCAGATGTTATGAATGTCGATAGAACACACGCGACAAACCGCTTTTGCCAGGCTCTTTTGTAGCAGCTTATATGTGGCATGCAGATACAAGCTGATCACCGATGGCATGGGTATCGGGCGTCCGCTCATGTGTGCCTTCGTGGAGAGCAGGAGTTTTGCCTCCATGCGTTAACTGTTCAGTTTATCCAAGGTGGGATGGATGAACAGTAAAAAGCAGTCTTTTGTAGTGGACAAGCTTACTGCACAAATGCAGGCGAAGAGAGGAGTTTTTAGCTGCAATTTCATGTCATGTTACTTCCATATTAGAAATTCTGCCAGGAATCACGCATAGGTCGTATAACATCAAGGTATTTTTGGTCACATGCCCATTGCAAACAGCCGACAAATACTCCACATCTTGGCTCACTTGGACGATACAGCACAGTAGGCTTTTTGTCAACCATAATATAATTGAGCAGATTTCGGCATGATCTGCAAGTACTGCATCACGCCGGCCCGCAATTTTCCTCTTATTTCACGGCCAGCTGCCTGTACATCAACGAGAAGTAGGCTGTGCACGCACATTTCAGTGCGGTTAACATTATTAATCCGACCAAAAACCGTCTGGAGAATGTAAGCGACCGCCTGAAAACCCGGCATTGTACTCAGACACACTAGAGCTTGCCATACAGGAGGCATCCAGGCACGTCGATTGGCTCATGCGGGAATTTGGGATGCATATGTCATATCATTACGACCGACAGAAAGACCCGGAGAATGAGGGTTAATTTCTGAACGTTGACAGTAGAATAACTTAGCATACATGTTTACCAGTTTTGGGGCACTTGTTACCACGAGTTCCAAGCCCGCACTATCATAATGTTGGAACAAACAAGTTGAGGTCATTCTACCAACTAACCAATATATTAGTTACTACAAACTCATAGTTCGTGTGCAGACACCAATGTTCTCCCAGACGGCCGATACCTGTGCTACTTTCTACCAGAAGATGTGATTTCCCTGCACCCAGTTGTTCTCCTACTTGGAAACCAGTCGGTTCCAAGCAGTAAGTTTCTTAGGTTGCTTCTCAACCCACCAACGGTGGCTATCGGATTGGAACTCGCCGGAACATGGTGTGCTTCTTACGCTTGTTCCAAGGCCACCGCCGAAAGCTTTCAACGGTTTGCGTAGACAGCTGGGCCGAGTGGTGAATGAGCTTCAGGGACTGGAACCTAGGGGGTGCAGCCATCAAATGGCGGTTGAACGTCAGTAGCATATCTACCAACAACTTCCGTCCATTTTATGCGGTTCACGTTCTACCACACTTAGCAACGCTTTAGCACATTAGGAACCTTTTTTTACACCAAAACAAATAACTCAATGTATCAGACATAGACGTTTTTGTTTTAAACTGATGGCCTCGACAACATCAGTTTTTAATGCTTTCATTCACTTTTTCGTATAATGAGTGGCCTAAATCCCCGATAGAGGACCCCAATAAATGTGCCGGGGAGACGCTGGACGAGAGGTGTATCCAAATTTGAACCCCTCATCAAAACAACCTATTGGTCTATGTGACGTATAACATACTCTCTATGAAATAACCACCGCTAGTCATCCTCATCCCCGGCGTCGACTGCACAACACCAGTGTAAACTCACCGATTCTTCGCTGCAGTACAACCGAACGATCAAAGAGTGTATGGTGGCCAGAGGAGGTGACTGGGAAGTGAAACTGCCAGTGGTGTTGCTAGCTCATTGTGCTTCCATGCAGCCAACCAAAGGCAAGCTCTGTCCATGCTGATGTACGGTCCACAGCTGCGCCTCCGGGTGATCAGGAAATTGAGCTGTGGCCGGCAACACACTTATCTCCGGAGTAGCTAGAGGAAGAAAGACGGAGAGCCTGAGAAAACCCGACTGCCGTTCAGGAAAGTACTGGACAGAAAACGGCAAGTAGAAAGGCACGAACATTCCCCATAGGCTCAAAGGTAGAGTAGAAGGATCATCAGACTCCTGAAAGGAGTGGACTAGGACCATGGAAATTAAGCAGTTGATGGCAAGGGCCGTCTGTCGTTACCGACCGCCGGGGGAACGTATGTGCAATTCAAGACGGCCGGGGATCGAGAAAAGCAAATGGGACTCAGCTTCGTAAGTGGCATGATACACCCGAAACGCGGCCGAACAGACCAGATGCTGGAGAAGACCTAACGAGGGTAAACAAAAATCGGTGGCTTGTGGGTGACCTTCAAAAGAAGGAAGGTGTGTAACGTCGATTGCAACTGATGAGCCGTGCGAGTAGTATGTAACTTTCTCTTAAATCGGCTTCGCGTCTATTGAAAAGTGAGATTTATTACAAAATTTGTGAAATTGCTTCGTAGCAGCCGTTTACACTTGAGTGATAGAAAATGAGCTTCCGGAAAATTTAAGGAGGACGCTTTCATGAAGAAGATGGACATTCAGCTTTTATAGACAAGGTTCATGAGAGGGTTTTGCTCCTTGTTCAATAGTCCATCCCCTCTGTTGCAATACCGTCTTTTGACGTCCGAATTCGTGGGTGGTCAAGAATTTGCGGTGAACACGCGCCCGTTTATGTTGCTGGGAATTTTAGAGTTGTACGGCCGGTAATATACCTTCGGAAAGTCCTGGCAAGTCGTTTGCGTGTTACGTGGCACCTTGTCAGGGCGCGCCCAGATAGAAGAAAAAGTACATGTGCAGAGTGTGACGCACCCCCAAGGTCACCATCGTTTCGACACGTCCGGAAAGTAGGTGAGTCGGTGGCTCTCACCAAACGGCTTAGCAACTCACAACCAGCGTAGTGGGCCTGAGAATGTTCACGACCGGAACACCACCATTGGCTGTACGGAGCGAACAAGTGAACGACCATATTTGGCCAAGTAGTCATCCTATATATTAACGCAGACGCTCTGCACGTTTTGTCCTGACAATAAAGCCGTGTCCGCAGTTCTCTGTCTTCTCCCTATCGCGCAGTCCGGCAGGCGCAGTGCAGGCGTGACCCCATAGCTCGGCCACCGCACGATACAACACTGGCAGACGGGTGTTCACAATGGCAATTTCATTCGAACAGATGCAGTCTCTCCTCAGACAGCAGCAGCAACAGTTTGAGCTGGCGCAGTTGAAGCTCATGGAGACACTTACTGAGAAATTGTCACTACAGAAGCCGATTAGCCAGACTAATGAGCCGTCCACTTCAGTGATCGACACGATGCTCAACGCGACCATCGAATTCCAGTTCGATCCGATCTCAGGCATTACTTTTGATTCTTGGTTCAACAAGCATCAAGATTTTTCCAAATTGGATCTGGGAAGCAGAGAAGATTCTTGGGGAGCAAGACAGTTGGTCAGAAAAATTGGGATGGCCGAACGTGAACGCTTTACGAATTACATTTTGCCACGAAAACCAAGTGTCTTGACTTTCGATGAAACCGTTGCTGTTTTATCATCAATCTTTGGTGAACAAGCCTCCTTTTTCAGTCGTCGATGTCACTGTATGAATTTGAGCAAGAATGCTTCTGAAGACTGGGTTACATACGCGTACAAAGTCAACAAGTAGTGTGAACGTTTCAACCTGCGAAGCATGACAGAGGATGAGTTCAAGTGTCTTATATTTGTATGCGGGTTCACGGCTCCTAAAGACGCAGACAAAAGAACAAGAATCATCAGCAAGATTGAGCAAAACCCAGACGTCACATTACAGAATATTACGTCAGAATGCCAGCGCCTGATGAATCTGAAGCGTGATGCCGTCATGATACAAGAAAGTGATCCCAGCAATACTGTCCATGCGATTCGGAAGCATAATGTCCCTCAGGGTGACAAGAAATCACCCTCGGCATGCCGCAAATTTGGTGAGTGGCATTTGGTCAATTTTTGTT